CGTGCCTGTAATCCCAGCTACTCAGGAGGCTGAGGCAGGAGAATTGCCTGAACCCAGGAGGCGGAGGTTGCGGTGAGCCGAGATCGCGCCATTGCACTCCAGCCTGGGTAACAAGAGCGAAACTACGCCTCAAAAAAAAAAAAAAAAAAAAAAAAAAAAAAAAATGTAGTCATTTAAGCTACCATTGCTGAATCATTGTAATATTAGCACAGAAATCAACCCTAAAGTCCAACGAAAAACAAATATGTGTATATATATATATATATATATATATACACAAATATAAACAAATATGTGTGTGTATGTATATATATATACAAATATAAACAAATATGTGTGTGTGTGTATGTATATATATATATATATATATATATATATATATATAAAGTCCCGTATATATATATATATATATATATATATATATATATATATGGGACTTTATATATATATATATATATATATATATAAAGTCCCGTGTATATATATTACGGTAAAAGTGGCATTTCAAATTACTGTGGAAGCCAGGTGTGGTGGTTCATGCCTGTAATTTCAGCCACTCGGAAGGCTGAGATGGGAGGGTGGGGCCAGGAGTTCAAGGCTGCAGAGAGTGATGATAACCCCACTGCACTCTAGCCTGGGCAAAAGAGTGAAACTCCATCCCTTAAAAAGAAAAAAAAATAGTGGGAAAAAGATATTCAGTAAGCGTTATGAAATAGTCAGCTGTCCATTTGGGAAGAGCAAAGTCCTACCTCACAAAGGGCACAAAAACAAATTCCATTAACAAGATTAATACATTAATGGTAGATTAAAGATTTAAACATTAAGACAAACAGATGAAAGTAACAGAAAAAAATAAGACAATATTTACATTTGGGGATGGGGATAGAAAAAGAGGCCGTGCCTAGCATGACACTACAGTCCGACAAAAATGTCTACAAAAAAATAGACACCAAAAAGAAAAAGAAAAATCAAATTACAAAACTCAGAGGAGAGATCTGAAATATATATGACAGTCAAAGAAACATTGTTAATTTTAAAAGCAGGCCAAGCACTGTGGCTCACACCTGTAATTCCAGCACTTGGAAGGCCAAGGTGGGCAGATCACCTGAGGTCAGGAGTTTGAGACCAGCCTGGCCAACATGGTGAAATCCCATCTCTACTAAAAAGACAAAAATTAGCCAGGCACGGGGCACACACCTGTAATCCCAGCTTCTTGGGAAGCCGAGGCAGGAGAATGACTTGAACCTGGGTGGTTGATGTTGCAGTGAGCCGAGACCGTGCCACTGCACATCATCCTGGGCAAAAAGAGGAAAACTCCATCTCAAAAAAAAAAAAAAAAGGAAAGAAAGAACAGGTTGGGCACGGTGACTCATGCCTATAATCCCAGCACTTTGGGAGGCCAAGGCAGGTGAATCACTTCACTACAGGAGTTCAAAACCAGCCAGGGCCACACGGTGAAACCTAGTCTCTACAAAAACTACAAAAATTAGCCAGGCATGGTCACATGCGCCTTTAGTCCCAGCTGCTCAGGAGACTGAGGTAGGAGGATCACTTGATTCTGAGAACTTGAGGCTGCAGTGAGCCAAGATTGTGCCACTGTACTCCAGCCTAGGTGACCAATGAAACCCTGCCTAAAAGTCAAAAGAATAAAGTTAGCAGGGCATGGTGGCATATCTATACACCCAGATACTCAGGAGGCAAAGGGAGGAAGATCACTTGAGATCAACAGTTGAAGGCTGCAGTAAGCTATGATCCCGCCACTGCACTCTAGCATGGAAAACAGAATAAAATCCTATCTCAAAAAAAAAAAAGTTTTTTTCAGAAAAATGTATACGAAATGCACAAAAATGAAAAGACAAATGTAAGTAAGATTATTACAGTGGTTCTTTTATGGGTTGGTAAAACTAGAATTTAGTATTGTTTGATTTTTTTTTTTTTTTTTTTTTTTGAGACAGGGTCTCACTCTATTGCCTAGGCTGGAATGCAGTGGTGCTATCATTACTCACTGCAGCCTTGACTTCTCAGACTCAAGTAATTCTCCCAATTCAGCCTCCCAAGTGGCTGGGACCACAGGTTGTGCACCACCACATCCAGCTAATTTTTGTATTTTTGTAGAGATGGGATTTCACCATGTTTCCCAGGCTGGTCTTGAACTCCTGGGCTCAGGTGATTCTCCCACCTGGGCCTCCCAAAGTGCTGGGATTACCAGTGTCAGCCACCACACCTAGCCTGAATGTTTACAGTGATCACATACTTAAAGAAAAAAAATTATAAGAATTTTCCATTTTGAAGAACAACAAGTAAAAGAACAACTCTCTATGAGAGAACTTCAATACCTAATAAGACACATCTTGAATTAGTGAGTGCTTGAAAGTCTCCAACTAATAAAACACTTAAAAACTCTCTAGCGGCCTAAGAAGTCAAATGACTAAAAAAATCAGTGGCTCTTCCTACTGGAAAGTTAACCTCTAAAAACCAATGATAATCCAGACACAGTGGCTCATGCAAGTAATCCCAGCACTCTGGGAGGCTGAGGCGTTCACTTAAGGTCAGGAGTTCAAGACCAGCCTGGCCAACATGGTGAAACCCGGTCTCTACTAAAAACACAAAATTAGCCAGGTGTGGTGGCCCACACTTGTAATCCCAGCTACTCAGGAGACTGAGGCAGGAGAATCGCTTTAACCCGGGAGGCAGAGGTTGCAGTGAGCCAAGATTGCACTACTGCACTCCAGCCTAGGCAACTAAGACTCTGTCTCAGAAATAAAGCTACAACATAAAAAGCAATGATAGTAGTATTCACCAGTCAATGAAAGTAGTGATGAGTCTAAAAGCATGTTGTGAAAGAAATTAACGACAGTGAAATGTCCCATTTTGCCTTCCCAGGATCCTAGCTTCTCACCTGCAAGATTGTATCAAACTATCAAGGGAAAGGTGGAATGTCTGTGATATTTTATATTACCTGCCATGGTTTTCATTCTCAATTATTCTCTTTGGCACAAAAACGGAGAACAAACAAAACGGAAGAGGAGGAAGGAGAGATGGAGGAAGAAGAGGGTGAGACAAAAGCTTCTCATTCTCAAAACTTTCAAAATAGATTTTGGGAACTGTCTGAAAACAGAGCATATGGGGCAAAAAAGGGTTTCAGACAATCAATGTTCATAGTATAAATTGGAAGAATACCTAGGGTGGTCAGAGGTTCCCTACCTAGACTTGCTGGAATGTCCACCCGACAGGTCAGAGAAGGACAGAATTGACTTTCCAAGAAGCACTCCAACTAGCTAAAGTCCTCTCTAGGAGGTGAGGGGTGATGGAGTGTGGTGATGAGAAGACTCCCAGTAAATTGGAGATTTGAGGGCTTGCTTCCCAAATAGGTAAGGTCTAAAAGCTGCTCCCCACATCAGTGACACAGCATGACAGGAGAAAGCGACAGGAGAGCATGGTGTGATGCAACCTCTGGAGCCTCCCGCAGCCTTGGAATGGCATGTGGGAGCAGTGAGAATTTTTCTTCACCCCCAAGAGGACCAGAAAAGTGGCTGAGAGAACTGGAGCACCTAATAGGGTCTTGGGGCTCCAAGTGGAGTGTGTGACTGATGATCAGAGACAGACAGAAAACAAACAGCAGCTGCAGATGCCACCTTAGAGAGACAAAGGTCACGAATTGGAAGATCTTTCCCTCCACCAAGTTTCCCACACTCAGAGATGCCACCCTATGGAGAAAGAAGGAAAGGGAGAAATCCTGAGTTAACTGAAGGAACCTGGCATTGACTAGAGTAAGCCTTGGCTATGAGGGAGAATACAGCATACAGGAAACATTCAGGAAGGAAAGCACAAGGGACAGTGTGCAACTGGAGGGGAGGATTAAAGGCTTAGAATGACTGCTATGCTGAAAGCTCACCAGGGAGAAGGGGCTCAAAAAAGATAGATTTCTGTTATGAATTAAGTTTTGCATTGATGTAGGCCTGAATATATGGTCTATGCAATGTGCACCCAACACACCTGCTTCACAGGATGACTTTAAAATATGACAAGGGGAGAGCAAGATGGGGAGGTCCCAAGGACACCTCTCCAATTATCAAATGCTTGGTGTCATTACTACAACTTACAATCTTTTTGCCCAGTCACTTTCAGCTCCACTGTTTGCTAAATGCCCTACATTGTGATGAGGTTTATTTGGCTTGTTTTTACCGTAACCAAGACTATACAAAAGCATTACCCTAGAGTTAACAAATTTCCCCTTCCCAGGTATAAGTAATGTGACCAGTGCTTTTAAACAGTCACCCTGCCTGTAACACAGACACACTTATCAAGCTGATAAGATACACTGATTCAAGATTTCCCATATATAGGATACATGATTCAACAAGGCATTTTTCTCAGGAGCTATAGTACCATCCAGTTTTGCTCCTTCCTTTTCAAATCCAATTTGATTACACTGTGTTAAAGGAAATAGAGTCGACTACCTGCCTTCACTCCCAGACAGGCACCCAGAAGGATATTGATTGTCTTTAAGGTTACACCATTGCGTTGAGGTGCAGTGACTCACACCTGAAATCCCAGCACTTTGGAAGACAAAGGATGGTGTATCACTTGAGGTCAGGAGTTCAAGACCAGTCTGGCCAACATGGACAAACCCCATCTCTATTAAAAATACAAAAATTAGGCATGGTGGCACACACCTATGGTCCCAGCTACTCAGAGGCTGAGGTAGGAAGATCACTTGACTCCAGGAGGTGAAGGCTGCAGTGAGCTGGGATCATGCCACTGCACTCCAGTCTGGGCAACAGAGTGAGACTCTGTCTTAAAATAAGAAAAAAAAAAAGGTTACAGCACTGGTAGCAAGAAAGTAATATGTGTACTTATCACAAACGATTGCAATTGCATAACTACTGTCTGCTATTTTTGCACAATTACTTCATTTAAACTTGACAGTTACCCTCATTTTATAAATTAGAAAACTGACTCTCAGAAAGATTAAGTTACATAAACGCTGTTGTCGGCAAAGCCTGAGTCCTATCACCTCACTCTCCTCCCCGACAGCATGAGCTTCACCACTGGCTCCACCTTCTCCACCAACTACCGGTCCCTGGGCTCCATCCAGGAGCCCAGCTACGGCGCCCAGCTGGTCAGCAATGTAACCAGTGTCTATATAGGTGCCAGGGGCTCTGGTTCCCAGATCTCCGTGTCCCACTCCACCAGCTTCTGAGGCGGAATGGGGTCCAGGGTCCTAGCCACAAGGATAGCCAGGGGTCTGACAGGAATGGGAGGCATCCAGAACAAGGAGATCATGCGAATCCTGAATGACCACCTGGCCTCCTATCTGGACAGAGTAAGGAGTCTGGAGACCAAGAACCAGAAGCTGGAGAGCAAAATCCGGGAGCACCTGGAGAAGAAAGGACCCTAGGTCAGAGACTGGAGCCATTACTTCAAGACCATCAGCGATCTGAGGACTCAGATCTTCGCAAATACTGTGGACAATGCCTGCATCATTCTGCAGATCGACAATGCCCGTCTTGCTGCTGATGACTTTAGAGTCAAGGATGAGACAGAGCTGGCCATGTGCTGGTTGGTAGAAAGTGACATCCATGGGCTCTGCAAGGTCACTGATGACACCAATGTCACTCAGCTGCAGCTGGAGACAGAGATCGAGGCTCTCAAGGAGGAGCTGCTCACCAGGAAAAGGAAGTAAAAGGCCTACAAGCCCAGATTGCCAGCTCTGGGTTGACTGTGGAGGTAGATGCCCCCAAATCTCAGAACCTTGCCAAGATCATGGCAGACATCCAAGCCCAATATGACTAACTTGCTCGGAAGAACCAAGAGGAACTGGACAAGTACTGGTCTCAGCAGATTGAGGAGAACACCACAGTGCTCACCACACAGTCCGCCAAGCTTGGAGCTGCTGATATGAGTCCAGTCCTTGGAGAGTGACCTGGACTCCATGAGTAATCTGAAGGCCAACTTGGAGAAAAGTCTGAGGGAGGTGGAGGCCTACTACACCTGCAGATGGAGCAGCTCAATGGGATCCTGCTGCACCTGGAGTCAGAGCTGGCACAGAGGGACAGCGCCAGGCCCAGGAGTATGAGGCCCTGCTGAACATCAAAGTCAAGCTGGAGGCTGAGATCACCACCTACCACCACCTGCTGGAAGATAGTGAGGACTTCGATCTTGGTGATGCCCTGGGTAGTGCAACTCCATGCAAACCATGCAAAAGACCACCACCCGCCAGATAGTGGATGCCAAAGTGGTGTCTGAGACCAATGACACCAAAGCGTTAATGTCTAAGACATTAAGCCAGCAGAAGCAGGGGATCTTTTGGGGAGCAGGAGGCCAATAAAAAGCTCAGAGGTCAAAAAAAAAGTTATATAAATGCATAGAGTACACGGCAATGCCCATATTTTAATCTAAGTTTGTCTAACGTCAAAGGCAAACTCTTTCCACTCTACCATAATACCTTGGTGATAAAAATATGTAAGAACACACTTTTAAAAAATTCTTGTCAAGGCGCTCAAGGTCTAAGACAACAAAAGTCATGCTACCACTCCTTCACTGTGCCCTCCTACCCACCCCCCATACACCTTTTCTCTGCTGTACTGATGCCACACTCATCCCCCAAACCCACCTGCCTTTTTTCAAGCCTTTACAGAAGCTATTCCCTCTGCCTGTCTTTCTTTCCTCCTCCCCACTTAGAGAATGCCAACCCATCCTCTAAGTCAGCGACTTTGAAAGCTTTGCTAGCTCTCCAACCCAGCTTCTGCAACTTTGTTCATCTTTACCTGACAGCACACACGTATCACTTGAGACTGTTTGTCTGCATGTGCCTTGGTAACCACTACTAGAATATGAACTCCTCAACGTCAGGGTCAGGGCCAACCTATTTGCATACACAGGAATCTAAGGCATTTACCGCACAGCCGGCGTTCAATAAATGCTTGGATTAATGACTGTATTTTACTTAAAATCAAGGTCTACATTTCACATGCTCTGGATTAGGAATGAATCATAAGGAGGTAAACACTATGAAGTACACTGGCGCTCGACAAATGATTTTAAGAAAACTGTCACCCAAAGCAGGCTTCTCCAGAGACCCCGCCCCCGTCCCGTCAAATGCACTTCTCGGGTCCGGAGACGGCCCCGCCTCTCGCCCTGCCAATCAGTCCCTCTTCGCGCCTGCGCACGCACCGCTCTCTCCCGAAGCCCCGCCCCGAGGTTGTCGCGGGCGGTTAGGTCTAAAGGAGCCTTTCCGTCACTGGTCCGCACGCTCTGACGATCGTCTACAGCTGCATTGCTAATGGCCGAACGGTCCTAACGGAACTGACCCGGACTGGGGGTTCTTACCAGGTACCTTGGGATCTTCGCCTCCGCCCCCGCAGGTTCAGCCCCTCGAGGGTGGTGCCCGCCAAGCCCGCCCCTCAGGACGCGGGGCTGCGAAGTCGTCCAGAACCGGCTCCGGGGACACAAGCCCCCGCCTCCGCGAGAGGCTGGGTGTCCCGGCGGGAGCCGCACATGCGCCACCTAGGGGTCAGGGTTGGCGCTTCACGTTCTGGGTTTGATGACTATTTGTGCCTAGGTCCAACTCCAACAGACCCTAACATTTTTTTCTCCTGCAGAGAAATGACCTGCAGTTCGGCACACATTTATCGAACATGTCTTTATTGCAAAATCCCAGAGTAAACAATGTCAGGGATTCAGCAGTGAACATGAGCTTGGCGTTATCCCTTTATATCCAAGGGCTATAGACAGTTGTCCTTGAGTATAAAAAGCATTTCAACGGAGGTAGGTTGCGAATGTTCCTGTAGCATTCAAGATGGATGCTTGGCTTATAAACTTTGTAAGAATTAGTCCTGGCCTGGCACAGAAAAGGGCAATAAGAACTCCATGCAGAGGAAAGAGCATGATATGTTTGGGGATTCCCACGAACCTCAGTGTGGCTGGAGCACAGGGCTGCAATGTGTAGAGGCTGGAGATAAGGCCAGGAAAGTGGGCAGAAGACAGCAAATGAAGGGTCCTATATACAGTTGTTTTCTCATCCCAGAGAACCTGGGGAGCAACTAAGATTTATAAATAGAGAAATAGCAAGATCTGATTTACCTTCTGGTAAGTTTCGTCCGGTTAGGGAAGATAGATTGGGAAGGCGACATCCATTTAGAATGGTATTGTTATAGTTTATAGTAAAAGATCTATGGGCCTGCACTACGACAATGATGGTGCAGATGAGGAGATTTTCTGAACCTCATTCTAGGGAGCTGGTAACTGGTTGAACATGTCGGATGCGGGACAAGGTAATGAATAGGATGATTCTTAGAATTTTTTCATAGGTGGCATTGAACTACAAAGAGAACATAGAAAGAGGAGCAAAATGGTAGGAGAGAATGTAGGGGAGAAGAATAGAGTTTGAGACTTGTTGAATTTTGTTGCTTGTTGAAAATGGCCAATCTGTTTGTGTATTTATTTTTCCACCTTGTTTCCAAAAGGTCAGAAAAATGTGGGGTAGGTGTGAATATATTGCTATATCACTCAGAGAGTCCAGACTGTTCAAAAGAGTAGAAATGGATAAGATTGCCCAGGATATGTATAGAAAGTGAGAAAAAGAGGAGGACCAAAAGCCGTAACATAGTTTAAGAAGAGAGTAGAGAGATGGGTCACTAAATGTGAACTGTGGTGTCCTACAAGCCAAAAGAAGAAACTTACAAGAATTTCTCATATCCCCAGTAAGTTGAGCGTGTCCCCGGTAAATTCATGTCTAGTCCAGTCAACACCTTGAGTGAGAAGTAAAAGGTGTTCATTGGACTCTACAATGGGAAGATGACTGATGATTGTACTGTGAGCAGTTTGGGAGAAAAGCAGAGGCAGAAACCCAGTTGCTTTAGGCCAAGTGAGTGAGAGATCGGGAAGTAGGGAGAATGAGGTTAGACAGTTCCTTCAAAAATTTAGAAAGGGAATAAGATGGAGTGAAAGCTAGAAGCAGCATGATCCAGGAAGGCACCTGGATCTTTCCCTACATTTCTTTAATATAGGGAAAACTTTCACATGTATGTTAAGTTAGTGGAAAGAAGAGGTAGCAGATATGAGAGAGGAAGGGGCTGTTGGTGGAGTAAGGCTTGAAGGGGCACAAAAGGATGGAATCCAATTTCGCAGTAGGGATGTGAGCCTTGGATCAGGGGAATACCCTCTTTGTCTTCAGGAAAGGAGAGTGTGGATATAGACATATGACTCAGTTTCCTCCTGGGGCTCTCGTCTTTACCAGTCCCTTACATGCTGTGTTCCATAAAGTTCTCATCGTAGTCTTCTTTTAACTAGACACACTCATTCACATCCATGGACACCTTTCCTCTGATTACAGCCAAACCCACTTCCAAAGTTCTCTCTGCTGAGTTAGATTGCCTCATAGAACATGTCATGTCCAGAACTAAATTAATTGTCTTTCCTAACAGATTCCTCCTCATATACAGTCATGCACTGACTAATGACGATTTGGCCAGTGACAGGCCACATACATGACAGGGCTTATAAGATTATAATACCACATTTTTACTGTACCTGTTCTATGTTTATGACATTTACATATACAAATACCATTGTGTTAGAATTGCCTACAGACCTGAGTACAGTAACATACTGTACAGGTTTGTAGCCTAGGAGCAATAGATAATACCATATAGCTTAGGTGTGTAGTAGGCTAGACCACTCAGGTTTGTGGAAGTGCGTTCTGTGATGTTTGCACAAGGAAATCGGCTAATGACTCATTTCTTAGAACGTATCTCTGTTGTTAAGTGACACGTGACTGTATTTTTGATCTTGCTTAGTAGCTCTCCTAAGCAATTTAACCTGGAAACTGAGAGTCACCTTCAATTGTTTCCCTTCTTCCCCTTCACATCTGTTCATACATCACCCAATTCTATCAGTTTGGTATCTCCTAAGTATATCTCAACTCTGTCTCCTTGTTTCTGAACTGTGTCTTCATCCCAGCCCCTCTCACCAGGCTTATTGAAAATGCCTCCTAACTAATCTCTCAGACTTCAGTCTTGTCCTACTAAAAAACGGCTTTCACACTGCTGCTCCAGTGATAGTTACTAAAAGCAAATAGGATCATATCGCTCCCCTGCTTAAAATAATTTGGTGGCTACTGATTATATTACCTACTCTCCTTAGCCTGGCACTCAAGACCCTCTCTGATTATCTCCCTCGCTTCCCCACATATCCACGTCCTCCATTTATCCCAAACTTCATGCTGTTCTCCAATCTCACCAAGGTTTCCCTTTGCATCTCCTGTTCCCTCTACCTGGACATTACTTTTCTCCATTTTGGGGCAGTATAATGTCTATGCTTTGAGACTCTTCTCAGTTTTTCTCCTTGAAGCCTCCTCTGCACACAATTCAATATACATTCCTCTACCAAACTACTTACCAGGCTGAATTAGAATCTTTTGGTTGTCTGTCTCTGCCATCAAACTTGAGGACAGGGATAGTCTTCATCTCTGTCTTTCCAGTATACAATGCCTAATACATAATAGGCAGTAAGTTCTCAATAAATGTTTGTTTAATTTGTCAATTAAGGAAGGAGAGAGAAAGCTAAAATCTTTCATAAGCCTTAAGTGGCCTCTCTTGGTGAAGCATACAGGAAAGGAAGAAAGTAGAGGGGGTAGGGCAATATATAATTGGAGGAGAGGATTAAAGTCTTGGAATGACTGCTGTGCAGAAAGCTGGCAAGGGAGGAGAAAAAGAATAGCAAGGAGCTTCAAGGGATAGTTCAGGTTAAAAGGAAAGAAAAGGTATCATGTTTTCCTTCCATGCCAAGGATATAAAAAAAATTTATATCCATTTGAAAAATGTTAGTACCAAAGTTTAATCATGAGATCCAACTAACTGCTATTCTAGAATCCTAGTGCTGAACAGGGTTCTAGAGCTCATCTGTCCAATCTCTTCATTCTTCCCACAAGTAAACAGACCCAGACAAGTCATGAAGTCATGCAACACATTAATTCTAGAAACACTACTAGAACCCACTCTGTCACTCATTTACCACCTCATGTTGCCATTTGTTTTGTTTCAGATTTTGCTAAGATACCATGTTTCTGCTATACTCTAAAAAAGACACTTGGGGGAAAAGGTGGGGATATGTTCCATTACTAATAACTGCGAGTTTATGTATTTCTTAAATTTTTCAAGTTTTTTAGGAAATCCTTCCCTAGAAAATATTACCAAGACTTTACAGGCAATACCAAGAGTTTCAGGTTTTACTTTCTATGATTAATAATAACTTTTACCCTTCCATGAAAGTTTTTATTTCGTGTTATTTGTGAAAATGGAAAAGCTAATTGGTATTATGGCCATTCAA